TTTTTTAGGAAAATATACGATTACGAAGTCAAATAGAACTGTTAAAAAATGAAATTGCCGCTTTACGAGTTATGCTCATCTCTTCACATGCAACCAACTTTGACGGAACGCAAACAAAAGTTGAACAGTGACAAAGTGGCTGTGTTGTTAGAAGATAATTTTCAAACCTTAGTCAGTATATTTTAAAATTTTTTTTTCTTTTTTGATCACATACAATAATTAATTTGCAGTCACCAATTACTGTTAAATCTTTGTTGCTTTGTTAAATTTCTTTTTGTCTGTATTCAACTGAGTCTGCAAAACAAATTAGCCATTTTACTGTAAACTTTAATTTACTGAATTGAGACGATCTCGGTATCCTCCTATGTTGTCATTTTTATTTTTGTCTGTTGATTCAATTAATGCACACATAGGGACAAATATAGTAGGTTAATCCAGTTAGGGACATTTTTTCATGTTTTCTCTTTTTCCTTACAACTGTTTACTAATGTTTATTTATTTATTTATTCTTTTTTTTTGAGCGTACCTCTAAACTGGGCATGACAAAAAAAAAAAGCGTTTTTTCCACACAGTAATGCCAAAAATGCTAATGACTTATTCATCGTTGTCATGTAAAAAGCTGTAATGCACTATAACTTTTTCATATAAATTACCTATAGTTTTTGAAAAAAAATTGTAACCAATAGACAAAATAATAGGTAAGCTAATCATATGAGTAAACAAAAAAATTTAAAACTTTAATATAAACTAATCAACACATACATTCTTTTTAAGGCTATAGTCAAATTTTATTTACGGCTTTTATGTGTTCACACAGCCCAATTATTATCTCATCTTTTTGAAACAGCTTTAGCTAAGTTAAGGCAAATAGCAAATGTCTTCAAACATTATGTCCATGAATGTTTCCAATATATTCTGAATTATGCAACAGCTTTGTTAATAACAGGTCTATGTGTTCTTACATTTATTTCCTCGTTTTTCTCTTTCTAATTTTAATTTCTATTTGCTATTAATTTCCCTTTTATGCTTTAATAAGCTAATTTCTTAAGACGTATCTGTGTATATGTAAAAATAAAGAAAAGCCTTAGAAACTTAGCTTTCATCTTTGCTACGTGTAATTTGTATTCATTAAATATTATGCCATCATTTTACGTAACGGGTTCAGAAATAAAAGTGAGCTAATAAGGCCTCTTGGTGTTACGACAAAAGAACCAAAGCCATACATCGGGTATAATCTATTCAAAGTTCAGTGCACGAAACCAACACGTTCGAGAGTTCAAAACTTTTGTGCTCTTTGATCTAAGACTCAGTCTTTTAGTCTACTTATAAATTTTTTGATAGTGAACAATAACAAGGAAAATTTGATTATATTACATGGACAAAAAAAGAAAAAGTATCGTAGACCACATTCCATTCTTATCAACCACTGAGTTTTAAGACTCATCTCCGACAAGGATTTTTAACAACCAGATATTCATTTGAATTGATTATTGTTTTTTGACGTCACTACGTAAATTATCATAAAAACTGGACTCAGTCGTTCTTACTTTGTTCTTCTTATACAGATGTCTGATATTTCACAGACAACACTCGTTACGTTCAGTGGTGAAATTGGTAAGCTAACGAAGTAAAGTAAATTGCTAAAATCATTTGAACTGGAGAACCGAAAATGCATAATATTCATTTGTTTACTTCAGGAATGCAAGATCTTTAAATGGCAACGTCATCCTTTTTTTAATATACGTTGTAATACATCAAAATTTGTTTGCTCTCGAAGAAAGGATTTTTAATTAAAATAAAAAGAGATTGATCACATCGAAGCATTCTGCAAAAGTTTGCGTAAGCGGAAGACTTTTAGCTGAATTAAAGAACCGTGCCAGCCTGAGTCATACTTAAAGCCACTGGTTTTCAAATTTATAAAAAAATTCAAACAGATGACCAAACTCATATTTAAATAGATATCTCTATACGCCTCTAAGCTTAATACTTTGTAGATACAATATCGTAATTCTTCAAAACGTTCTTTGAAAATCTTTTTACGAACGTAAGATAATAGCCTTTTAAAAAGAAATCATTTAGATTAAAAAGTCCTGAAAGTTATCGAAAACTGCTTAGCAAGAAAATCTATGCTGTAAAATACTACTGGTTTAATGGTTAAAGACGGTTAAGTAGGTGAATGTGGCTTGAATAAAACCAATATTTCAAGCGATTAATCGACTATGTTTGCTCAGTAAAGTGAAAAATGTGATGTTGCAAAATTGTAAATGCATCATTTTTTCTGTCAAATTTGGCTGTAATGATAGCTGTAAACTGCTTTAAGAAGCAGAGACCTTGTATAACACTGATAAGATTCCGCCAGTTTCCTTGGAAAACCTAAAAAGTGTATTGGCGGTTTCGCTCTGATTTTGATTTAAAAAACAGCCTGAGTCCTCCATGTAGTTTGAAGACAATCTTTAATTGCTGCAGTGCATAAGGGTGACTCTATATTTAATTTTGTAAATTACAGATCTACAGACATGAACTATATACCTTGTTGATTACTTTCGAAAAAAATACCTAATAAATCAAAAAAGTGCTAACATTATTAGTTTCTGAGAAATGATATTAATTTTATCATGACTATCCCGCCTTAATGCAGATATTAAAATGTAACTTTGAGCGGTCGAGAAGTTTTAGAAGAAAACGAAGTGTGCATAGTGTACCTTCAAAAAACTTCCTTTAATAACATGCACCGTAGAAATCCGACTCGGCTTGCAAAACTTAAACCAGTGAGATTCCTGACCGGATACTTTTCACCTTCCATAAAGTGACCATTTTAGGCCGCTTATTACCCTCTGTCTGTGCGGTAAATTGACAATTTTTTCAGACTTTTTATGGCATTACAGACTGATATTTTTAGCGGTGAATTGGTTCATTTGCAAAAAGATCCTAATAGCGCGGTCATCTGAGTTGATCCTACACAGTCTATGTTTCTTTTTAAAAAGTGTATTGCCTTAAAATTTTTTTCCAACAACGCACTTTCAAAAAAGAGTCCATCAAGTAAATTACCTTACACCTTACTAACAAGTAATTAATGGTCTAGATTTGTATATCAATGAGAAATTTTTTAGGAAACTCGGTGTTTGTGACAATAATATCGCACAAAGGCCGTAACATTATTCACTTTATCTCTTCTTTTTGACTGCGGCGGAATAAAATTTACGGTATGTTTACAAAAAGCTTGCGTTCTGCCTGTTACGAAGCATACAGAGCTGGTTTAATTAGCAGCTTGAAAAGGATTTTCAAAAAAATTGAAAGAAAATTTGGCGTCACTTTAACAACAGAATTTCAGAACCCCTATAAATCTATATTGGCCGCATTGAGATTTTTACAGCGCTTGGCCATATTCCTTCAAATAAAAGACCTTTAACGTTGCAAACTTTGTAACCAGTAAAAGCGACTTAATTCCCGATACTGAGTACTCATACATTACTTTCGTTCAGCGTGATTAATTCACTAAGTCAAATCGCCTACAAGTAGCAAAAAAATTTTGGAATATTTCTTCTGAGTTACTGTTTAATGTAATAAATCTGATTATATTTACAGCTGGCTTAGAAAGTACTCAGTCGCATTCTTTTAGGACTGGTATTTAAAATCAGATCACTTTACTAATTACTAATTGATGTTGCTGGTTTAATTTAGCTGTTATTGTTTTCTTTCAAATAACCTAAGTTTTTTCTCCACAGTAAACTCATTTCTTTGTTTTCTTAAACTACTAATGAAAAACAGGGCGGAACCACACATTATGGTTTTCGAACACCATCTTCCTTTGTGTTGAGCTGAGACCGGAACCGCTGAATTTAACAATAGACTTCAACGAGTAGTAAAGCCGATAAAATAGACAACCAAAATGTCGGCATGCAGGTCAAGTATACAGAAGTTTCCTACCCAATTTTTTTTTCTGTACAGCAGTTGCTTCTTCAACCTCGTCGCATAAGTAACTGGCACAATGCTACGGTAAAAAGTACAACACTGACGATGATCACCATTATCAGCCACGATCAAGTGGCTGGAAATATTATCAGGCTGTTACATATCCTAGGATTTGCGAAATCGTTACTGGCTTTTTGCCAACAACGTTTTGTTATTGTATTTTGTTATGGCAGAAACAGGAGATTGTTTTGGTTGTGTTTTGCACTTTGGAGTTGACGTTACGCTTGCTGTACTTTGCTTGTAAAACGTGGTTATCTCCACTGTTTGTGATTTGATGGTGCTGTTTGTGTCTCTATGCTGCCTGTTATCTTCTTCGTTGTTTCTTAGTTATTTTTTTTTTCGCTATCAAACTGTCGCGTCAGCAGCTAGCTGGCTGCAGTTTTCAAGGTTATTCGCTCGAGTGGATATAGAGTGTAAATTCTGTGAGCAGCTGAGAAGTTGACCACTGATGAGCCAGTAAAATGTTCAGATTTACTTTTAATAGTGTCTGAAAATACGTTTGCTCTAGCAGCAAATGAAAGCTGTTGTTTTGATTTGTTTACTTATATATTCTCTTCAGCGAA